GGGCAGGTTACAATATAAAAATATTTGTCATAATCATGTCTTGTGGTTTTTTTGACAGGAGTTTTACTTTTAAACTGTAAGTGTATTTAATTTAGTTATGTTAGTTATGATGTAAATACAATTTATGTTAAATATATATATATTTGTGCTGATAAGCCTGAGTGGTCTGGTGACTGACCGTTGTATTTGTTCAAACAATTGTTTTGGGCAGTTTGTGATTATTTGACAGGAGTTTTACTTTTAAACTGTAAGTGTATTTAATTTAGTTATGATGTAAAAACAAATTAAACCAAGATTCAGACATTGGTAATGTCTGACTGGGCCTCGTGCCTCTTTATGTTCAACAAATTGGGCCCTGAGGTCAAAAAGGTTAAGACCCTCTGGTTTAGATCAACATCTAATAAAAAGATAAAAGACAAACATAAACATGACGACTTTGGTTAAAAAACCAAAGATTTGAAAGTTGTTGTTTGTGGCAGGAAAACGCTCAGTATGGCGAACACATCTGGTTTGAGGCCAGTGTTTCCGGAGACTTCTGTTACGTTGGAGAGCAGTACTGCGTCGCCAAATCTCTGGTGAGTTCTCCTGCAGCTGCTCTCCTCTGATTGGCCGATTAAAATCAAAGAATAAAGATGTTTTTGTCTGAAGCAGCTCTTCCTGCTCCGTGTTAAATCTGATATTTTCTGCAGCAAAAGTCCGTCGCCAGGATGAAGTGTGCGGGATGTAAGATATCCGTACACGTCACGTGCATGGAGCAGCTGGAGAAGGTAAACCTGCTGCAGAGGAACGCCGAGCCGTCCCCCCCCCACCCCCCTCACCCTGTCTCCTCTCTCCTCAGATTAACTTCAGGTGCAAACCGTCGTTCAGGGAGCCGGCGTGTCGAGCCAGCAGAGAGGTGAGCCTCTGAAACGTTTCAGCCTCAGCTTCACCTGCAGCTGGATGACTCTGAAACATCTGCTCTTTCAGGGCAACGTGGTGCGACATCACTGGGTCCACAGGAGGCGGCAGACCGGGAAGTGTCGGCAGTGTGGGAAGGTGGGTCCGAGTTCTGAGCCGAGGTCCTGCTGTGAGTCCAAACAGGACCGGGAGCAGCAGTCCAACAATAAAACATTTATTAGATCTTAACCTTCATAATTCAACAAACCTGCTTGGTAGTTTTCCTACAGCTGATCTGAGGAGATCCAGTGTGTGTTGATCAGTTTATAACGTGTATTAATAATACAGTATATGATGTTTCTGCTCCTGATAATAACCGGGTCCAAACGATGTCGCCAACAGGGCTTCCAGCAGAAGTTTACGTTTCACAGCAAAGACATTGTTGCTATCAGCTGCTCGTGGTGCAAACAGGCGGTGAGTTCATCTCTGTTAGTAAAATATCTCATCAACCACTGCTGGTTTTAGTGAAGCTCAAAATGTGATGATTGCATGAACGTGCAGCTTTCATCACAGATAATCAACCCAAAAACACAAGCTGTGTTTCCATTACAAATGTGCGCAAAACTTTGTTGATATTCTGTTAATGTTGAAAAACACAGTTT